AGAAACTTTTAATGACTGAGAATTATTGATGGGGAAATTTCATTGTAGCATGTTTCCCTTTTTTCCCCGTGCTGTTAAAGAGAAAATTGTTATATTAATTCACTTATTTCTTTATTACCCCTTTTCAGCTACAAATATTAGTAAGATGTCCCGTTTTCAGCCCAAGATATTATAGTCACCCTAACCACTGATAACGTCACTGGTACAAAAGTGAGAATTATAATTTTGCTGGTAATCACGAGCCATGTTGTCAAGCCACCTTATGCAATGAGAACAAAATGAAAGTCACAGGTTTAAAAAAATGAATGATTCAAGAGCAATTGTACCTTACGTTGTGAGAATAAATGATGTGGCATATTTTAAAAATATATGTTTCATCACTATATTTATCTTATTTCATGAGGACAAAAAGGAAAATCACTGACTGAAAAAAATAAATGAATGTTTCAAGACTAATTGTAATTTACATTGTGAGAGGATTTGTAAAATGCATGTATTTTGACTGCATGTACCTAATGTCATAAAAACAAATGGAAAAGTCACGAGCTAAAAACAAATGCTTGTTTAAGCATTGCATGTACCTGTCGTAAAAAAAAATGGAAAAAGTCACCAAGTTAAAAACAAATTCCTATTTAAACACTGCATGTACCTAATGTCATAAAAACAAATGGAAAAGTCACCAAGTTAAAAACAAATGCCTGTTTAAACACTGCATGTGCCTAATGTCATCAAACAAACAAGTCACAGGTTAAAATAAAATGCATTTTTAACAATGCATGTAGGTAACAAACGTCACGGGTTGAAATTATGGCATTCTCAACAAAAATCAAGCTTTTTTTTAAAGGTGGAAAGAAGTCAGGTCTTAAATAAGACCCAGAGGAAATTTATTTAAATATACAATCAGTTCTCAACATTACAACATACATTTTTGTAAAATAAACTAAACATTGCCGTCACAAAGAATCAATGCAGGGAATTTTAACTTACGAGGGGAGCGTCGAATAAAAACTTTAAAAAAGTTACAGAAATTATACTAACCATGCCGCTGTCTTTTAACATGTCAATTTTGTTGTTAAGGATGTCAAGTGTGACGTCATAATTACAGCGTAAAGATGGCTGCCCCAATTTTCACATGCACCAAAGAGGAGCAGCTTTTGTTATCCCCCCCCCCACCCCCCAATAAAGGGGTGAAGCCTACAGACATTCATCATGAATGAATGAAGCTTGGTGATGCATGCCAGCCAGTCCAGCAAATGTATGAATGGAGTAGACAGTTTTGAAAAGGCCTGACTGCTGTGGCAGCAGACACCATCATGTTTAATCTGAAGTCCCCTCATATTTAATATACAAGTCAGAAGCTGCTGTAGGACAGTGGCTTGAAACTAGCCTGCTGGCCAGAAGGTGTTGAGTTTGAATCTGCGTTGAAATAAATCCTTATAAATAACCTTGGCTTAGAAATCAACACACACTAAAATGGGTCTAGCAGTTTAAGGATGCTGGAGTGAGTGCTGGTTGGTCTTAAAAAAATAGTGGTATAGTACCATGTGCCCATGTGGCTTGGGTGGTTTTTGTGTGTTTTGTGGTTGTTGCTCTTGCCAGTTGGGTTTTCTCCATGAGTTTAGTTTTCGACTGACTCTGTAGTTCATGTCAGGCCAAGTGCAGCAGAGCTGCACTTTGATCTTAGCCTAAAGGTTGAGAAGTCTTTAGCAGTCATTGCTTAAGCTCTAGATAATGTGGAAATTTAACTTACTTTTGGTCATACACATACAGGGTCTCTTCAGCTTACCATTGAGTTCTGTTCCAGTATAAGCCAAACTGGTCGTAAGCCAAGTTCAAAAAAATTTTCGTAAGCCAAGTTAAAAAAATGTTTAACACTATTTTCACTCAAACAGGTTATTCAAAATTGTACATTAAACTTAAAAGTGCATCTTTGTATGTATAATTATTGCAGGCACTGTGAAAATACATAATATGTACTCTAATGCATCAGTTGCAGGAAATTTTTAGCCCTGCCAATGTACTTATCTTTCTTTATTTACTATTTTATTTGTTTATATTTGTGGTCATAAGTGCGAATGGCCGTAAGTCACATAGGTCATACTTAAGTCAAGGAGAAGGTATATTATTTTACCTTTCAAGAATGAGAGGTCAGTATAGAGACCTCAGTTTCTAAGTATCTATGAGTAATGAAGGCTGGTTCTAGGGTCCATAATTATCAGCAGTCATAATTAGAAAACAGTATAAGGAGGTCATCATTTTTAATTAACCGGGACAGAAAGCCAGAATTAGGAGAGATAATTTTCAAGTCATCATAACTAGAAGCCAGAACCAGGAGAAATAACTTTCACATTCTCATGGCTAGAGACCAGAAAAAGATAATTATTTCTGGTTTTTCATGACTAGATACCAGAATTAAACACTATACTTTCCGAGCATGTGTGACTAGAAACTAGAATAAGGATGCTTTATTTATGAGTGTTCAAGAACGGAAGCCAAAGTTATCGGAATACTGTAGTTAAGTATGTATAGGTTGCACCCAGTTTCTGAGATGATAATGTTAGGAAAAGATAATGTTGTTAGATTTTTGTCAAGAGACCAGAACCGAAACAGTAGTACCTGTAAGCACTGAAAGATTGGCTGCATAAGATGCGTCACAAATAGTTTAGGGTTGTAAATTTAAGTTGTAAGTAGTGCATTATGTGCAAGTGAATTTAATGCAATGTGCTTTACGGCCTAAAATGTACTTATGATTTGGCTGCGGGTAACAATGGTGCAGCCACTTCCCAACATCTACCAAGAGAAACCGTTTGGTTTCACAAGCAAGTTCTGAAGCTCCAGAAGATACACAACTACAGGATGAGGGCAGCTGGAGATTCAGATTACACTTTGCGTACAAATTATATGTAGGCTTAATATGTCAGATATAAGCCATACCCTTTTTGTCATCCATGATTTCTAGTCAAAATATTGCAGTCTATGCGTGCATTAAATATGGTAATTTCCAACTGTTCAAGTCTAGAGGAAAAATATTTACATTCAATATCTTTAATAACATTGTATTAGTGTGTGTGTTAAATTTTACGAGGTTTATTTATTTACTCTGTTGTTTGCTGCACTTTTTTGGTAATACAGGACATGAAAGGATTTGAAATGCAGTAGGGCATTAAATTACAATGAGTAAACTTAAAAAAAATTGGAGAAAGTTAATCTGGTCAGTTTAAAAAAAAAAAACATAAACACGACTAACATAATTGGCTGAATGGCTAGAAAACCTTCATAGGTATATAAAACAAACCCATCACTAATATCGCTTCATTTCTCAAACTAGAAAAATGTCACTTAGCTATAAGCTTGGGTCCTGGAAACATTGACATCCCAAGGGTCCTGGAAACATTGACATCCCAAGGGTCCTGGAAACATTGACATCCCAAGGGTCCTGGAAACATTGACATCCTAAGGGTCCTGGAAACATTGACATCCCAAGGGTCCTGGAAACATTGACATCCCAAGGGTCCTGGAAACATTGACATCCCAAGGGTCCTGGAAACATTGACATCCCAAGGGTCCTGGAAACATTGACATCCCAAGGGTCCTGGAAACATTGACATCCCAAGGGTCCTGGAAACATTGACATCCCAAGGGTCCTGGAAACATTGACATCCCAAGGGTCCTGGAAACATTGACATCCCAAGGGTCCTGGAAACATTGACATCCCAAGGGTCCTGGAAACATTGACATCCCAAGGGTCCTGGAAACATTGACATTCTAAGGGTCCTGGAAACATTGACATCCCAAGGGTCCTGGAAACATTGACATCCCAAGGCACACAAAATAAAACTGTGTGTGATCATCTCTGTTAGTCAGCTTTCTAGAAGTCTTCTACTTTTTATGCACTCACCATTAACTCTTTCTTGCTTCCAAGGAAACAGTCCTAATTAGTAAGCCTTTGTGACATGCTTGTTAAGGAAGTAGTGGGTCTTTTTCTGTTTCCCCCACGGTGGGACCCCAAACCCACACAGGAATAAAATACAAAGCCAATGGTCAAATTAATCACAAAAGATGTTGGTATCTAATCAATTTATCTAGTTATTGTGCAAGGTAAATGGTTAAATCTAGACTAAAATGACTTCCGCATCTAGTTATTTTATCTACTTTGTATACAAGATAAATGGTTGTCAGACATAAACATTTTTGCTAACATATAATTTTATCTACTCTTTATATGAAGCAAATGGTTAAATCTAACAAAATTGGATTTTGGTAGTACTTATTTTATCCCACTTATCATATAATGTAAATTGTCAAATTAGTCCAAAAAAATTTTTGTATTTTGTCATTCTACCTACTCAGAATAGAAAGCAAATTATCAGATCTAACCAGAAAAGATTTTGGTAGTAAATTATTATAACTATTTATAAATACAGTTTAAATGGTCAAATCTAAACAGACAGGATTACTCTTTATAGTTATGTAACTTATTCATCATACAAGGTATATGCTCAAATCTAGACAGAAAAGATTTGGTACTTAGTCATTTAATTTAATTATTACACAAAGTAACCGTCAAATTTTTCACAAATTGAATTTTTTGTTTTTGTTGTTTTAGCCAAACAATATTTAGTTTAAGAATGATAATATAGTATTATTTGTTTATAAGAATTTATCTATCAACATACAAAACACAGGCCTTGTATGAGATAAGCTCTGTATTGCTGACATAATTGTTGATAATCTAAGTTGATGACAAGTATAAATAAGAAAGGCAAGACAATATAAACTCATATTGTAAATGCTCTTTAAAATTCCATTATGTTTAAATATAACAGTGTACACCTGAAATAACTGTGTACAGGATACCAAAATGTGTGCAAAAGGAACTGTATGCAATAAGCTGATAGCTTGTTGTTGATTTGTGTGTGTGTGTGTGTGTGTGTGTGTGTGTGTATGCATGGAGAAGGAATCATCCATTGTGACTAAAGTGAATGATGGATTGGATGCTT